GTATTTTTAAATATGTGGATTAGAATTCCTTAAGTTGAACATCTCTCCTTAGCAATTTTATATACTCAGACAAAAAGCGAAACCGTTGCAGCTGCTTGTCTATATGGTTGGTTGTGTTTGGTGATTTGTTTATATTGCTTTCTCCAATTGCTCTAAGGGTATTAAGAGCTCTCTGTAAACCAGTAATGTTAGAAGTGAATTTCTTTAGAAGTGATAGATTTTTGTTTCCTGGAGGAGGACCAAGACTAAGCATCTGCTAACCTTGTATTGTGTACTATACAACTTCAATGTTGCGGCATTGTGCTGAAAGTATTTGGCATCTGTTCAATGGGACCACTTTCTAAACCTTTTTGTAATTCCCAGCATCTCTCCAGGTGTGCAATACATTTCTAATTTGATTGCAGGTACTAGTTCATCTTTTTAGGAGACTAAAATTGAGTTATCAACAAGCTGAGAAATAATTCAGAAAAAAAAATGTTTTTGATTTCCTGAATTATTGTTAAACTCGCATTGAGGATATCATTTATATATTTTGGGAAAAAAAAAAATTGCTATGTTTTTGAACACACTTGAGAATTTAAACGCAAAAGCAAAAAGTTAACCTTTTACATGATCAAATTTTGGAATTTTCTCCTACCGCTACTGAATCCAAGTTAGGCACTGCCACGAAGAGGATGCTTTTTGTTGCAAACCTGTGCTGACAGAGCAGGAAGCTGTTTTGTAGGAACTCACTCGCAAGGTGTTACGTGCTTGTTCCATCAGTGGTGCAACTTCTGTTGACTTCAAGGCTGCTCAAGCAGACCCGGTGTGTTTAAAGACGCGTATTGGCTGCAAGCTTTTTGTTATACTAGCCCTTGGATATGCAGTGTAAATCTGTAACAATATATAGTGCTACTGGATAATAATAATCTGAATGCATATTTTCTGCTGTAAATGTCCCTCCTATGGCCCCTATGGTATGTGTACATAGACTTACTACCTTTGCACTGAACTGACAATACTTCATAACTGAAAAGCAAAAACAAGTAGTGTACTAAAGATGACTGTAGCTTGTGGTTCCAATTGTGGAAATACTTTTGCAGAACGAAAAGTATAGCTTCAGTGCTACAAATTTGATTTTTATATTTTTTATTAACATGCATGGAAGACTAAGGATAGTATTTTTTAAAAATGAACTTGTTTTTGTACATTTTTCAATGTTTAAAACTATATGGTTTAACATTACCTCTGAATACCAGTGATCAGTCAATTCTTAAAGGAAATACCTCAATTTGAGCATTCTTTTCTTGTTAGTTGTCTGATAGGTTGAAATGGACTATAGCGTGTGATGAACTGAGCCAAATGATGTAGACACTTAAACTATGCTATAAAAGTTGTATGATGATTCACTAAAAGGGAACTACATGATACGCTACAAGTGTTGATGTGCAGTATACAATCGTGGCTCATTCTGCCCAACTGGACATTTTCTTTATGAATGGCTTGTAAATTGAATTTTCAGCGTGAAGCCAAATTAAAAATGAAACAAAATACGTTTGGTTTCCTCTGGGTTTTTTTGGTGGTTTTGTTTTGGTTTTAGATATAAGGTTTTTATAAACAACAAGGTTTACAATAAGGGGAAAGATACAAATCATAATTGTGAATAAGACTGGGTCCATATATATTTAGGTGCAGTTTGTTGATGTGTGTTCTCTGTGGCAGCGTGTGCAGGGGAACAGTGCTTGTTTGCCTGACAACTGGGAATATGAAATTACAGGGTTTTAAGGATTTTTTTGTTTGGGTTTGGAGTGTTCGGGTTTTTTTGTAGGGGTGTGTGGGTCTTGGTTTGGTTATTGTTTTTTTGTTTTGTTTTGTTTCCCCTAAGGATGACAAGGATATTGGCCCCAGTTCTGTTTTCTGTGCTTAAAGAAAAATATCAAAAGATCAAAAAAGATTCAGAAAAAGAGGCTCCAGAAGTCTGGAGAACATGTCTGTCTGAATTGGCCTGAAGTAGCTCTGGTTACTTTTATTTATCCAGGAAACAGACAAGAAATGATCCAACGCTCCAGATAACCACATACGTGAGAGATTCATAACGGAGGGTGGAAAAAGGCATAATGAGGTCCCGTGGATATAAGCTGAACCATTAATATGAACATTTTTAAGAATACAAGTGAAACACTGGGGAAGTTTACCGGAGAAATGACATACGTTCATCATGATACGAAGATTTCAAGGGAAGACTTGTTAATGTTTTTCTTAATGTTGGTTTCTAATTTCAAGTTATGGGGTGGATGCAGATTTTGAGTACGTTCTTTGGCCCAAGTCAGGTTAGTCATGCAGTGGTTTGTGTGAAAGAATAGACATCTGTACGTGATAACAAATGCGTATAATTTCATTCTGTGTAAGAAAAAAGAATACTGTATTTGTCCAAAACAAAATTTAAGCTAGTTATTTCTTTCAGTGAAGTCCTACTAGTCCTGCAGCAATGTGGAATGCTTTCTTATGAAGAAAAGCTTTAAAACCTGAACCTTTTTCTGCTTAAATATATTCTTCCTTTTTCTTTTGCTCTAAAATGCAAATAACTTATTTGCTCTATACTTACGAAAGTAGGTTACACTAGAAAATGTTTTAACTAATGCCAGAGGATGCCATCAGAATGCGGTACGCTTTCACAAATGCTTGTTCATTACAAAATGGAAGTGACTGACATTATTAATGAAATATTACAGATGTGTAAATGCACAAAATGCATGCAAGATTTCTTTCTTCCAAGGGTAAAGATTCCCCTACCTGATACCATCTGGTTTTAACCCTGTTTTTTTTCCTGCTGCTTGCCAGGGTAGCGTGAGGCCTGCCAGAGGTGACAGGTTATAGCCCCGACCTTGCTCCCGTGCAGCGGCGGGGCCCCCCCCCCTCCTGCTCCCCCCCCCGCCGCGCCTCCCTGCCACTGCGCTGCTTGCTTCAACAGGGAGCCGGCGGCGGGGTCTGAATCTGCAGCCAGCCCTTCCTCGCGGCTCGCGTTTCGGCGTCTTTTCAGGTGAGGCGATCGGCTAAGGTAGCAGCATGAGCTGCGAGCCCTCACATCGTGCCCTCTTCTCCTTCCCCACCCTCGTCTTCCCACCTCCACCGCTTTCTTCTCCTAGCGAAGATACCCGCCTTCACCTTCCCGGTGGGTATTTCCAGCCCTTCGCCTGCCCGTGTGCCCGCTTCCTCGCTCGCCTGCGCTGCAGGCACGCTCCCCGTTGTGCCTGGGCTGCCGGGGCAGCCGCCTCTTACCGCATGCTTGCGCCTTTTCTGCCCCCGCGAACCTTCCGCCCGAAGCGCTCGGCTGAGGCGTGCTTGCGCTGCGCACCGCCCTCACCGCTTTCTCCTGGTTGACGCCAGGTGAGCGGACAGGCGAGGACCGCACGAAACGCTCCTTTTTTTTTTTTTTCCTGGAAGAGCCTTCCCAGCTCCCGTGAGGGGCAGCGCTCGGCCGCTCGGGCCTGCGAGCGCCCGGTGTCACCGGAGCCCTGCCCGCCGTCGCGCGTGGGGGGACACCGCGCCCTCCCCTCCGCTGGGTTTGCTCCTGTTGCTCCCTTCCTTTCCCTAACTTGTTGTTGTTATCCTACCGCACTACCCTTCACTCTGTCCATCGAAGGTAACTTCTTATGCGGCTGCTGGCTTTTCCTATCGCTATGCCTTGCTTGTGTCTCTGCTGCCTCCTCGGGGAGCGGAGCTGGCTGCGGGGGGCAACGGGGTAGGGGCTCACGGCCGCGCAGGATCCCCCTCTCCCCCTCTCCCACCCCCACGGCTCGGGGCCCGGAGCAC